ATGGATGGATGGATGGATGGATGGATGGATGGATGGATGGATGAATGAATGATTGTGTGAGTGAATGAGTAAATGAATGAATGAATTGATGAATAAACGAATGAACGAACGAATGAAATGGAACCTGTAGTCCGCTTTCCTTTCAGTCTGTCGTTCTTCCTCCACATATTAATTAAAGCAACAGCGAACAATGATTCAAAAATAAAACTCCCCTCATCAGCTGATGTGGGCATCGAAGCGCAACTTCACAATATTCATCCAATAATAATAATAAAAAAAGCCCGTAATTTGACATCTTAGAATGCGCAATTATCAATTGAAACATGAAAAATAAAGTAGAATCGTTTAGTATTATTCGCACCTGTCCTTGACTATATTACGATGATAGCACAATGATATTTAATAAGTAAGAAATATTTTAGTCAGGATAAACTTGTCTTAGGATTGATTACGGCGTTTCTTTCGATTAAGTTAAATTCGTAATATTGTCTAACTCGTGTGTTTCAAGCTAATCAATAAGATAGAAAAGACACTATGACTTACTCAAAGGGTATTTAGATGAAATTAAGTAATATTGCACCGACGGATCGAAGAATAACCTCAGGCGCCTTTTTGCGGTCTAAACTTGTCGCCATAAATTTTAAAACAGTCATATACAAAAGCAATGAAAAGACCTTTTTAGCTTGGATATGGTTTATTTTTCATTTCAGAACACCTGTTATTCTTTTGAGAATAAGATTCTTCGTTCGAGTTGTATCCATATTCATGTGTCTTCTCGTGCACAACCGTTAAACAAAGAAATGATATTCTAGGGAATGACACGTGGTCTGAAATGGGAAAAATATTATGCCCAAGGTAAAACGGCAGTTTAAAGAAGGCTTGTGCAATTTCGTACCCAGAGCCAACGTTTGTTTGTCATCAACTAGCGCGCGTTCTTTTTCTGTTTCGCGCACGGGAGTAGGGTAAGGCGAAATTTAAACTGCATCCGGTCTTTTAAAGCGCAATTGTGATTTGCATTCTCGCACAACAAGATATTCCCAATATAATTTAGTATGTCCTTCTTTTAAGCGTAAGACGGAGGGAGGGAGATCTTTTAGTGTAACTACTTGTCAGCTATGGAACAGCTTGCCTCTAGCCTTACGTCAAAACGATTCCTTGACTGCATTTAAAAGCTCTTTAAGAAATTATTTCTTAGATAATCAAAAAACTTTAAATCGTTTTATAGTATAATCTAGTGCATTCTATTTTTATTTTATTTTATTTATTTTTTAATTATGATTTATTAACTATTAGTTATAATTGATTTTTTAGTGTAGGGGTTTTTGTCTTGTAATTATAATTTTATAGTTTTTTATACACACATATTCGTAGTTCATATATTAGAGGGCCACAGGTTTGTTAGCATATTGCTATTTAGTGTACCCTCAGTAAATAAAGAGTTTATTATTATTATTATTATTATCCGGTTTCTAAAAATAGCCTAACCGGGAATTTTCATGGGTCGCGCGATATTAAATAGTTTCCCTCTCTTATTTGTGCTTTTTGGTGGTATTCATACTGAGATGGCACTGAGCGAGCAGAGGAAAGGATACAAATCAATTCACTACCTGTGGTATAAATACTGAGTCTTGCATGGGGCGAGTACACAKAGATAGGAAGTATTTGCCCTATGTCATCACAAATTATTCCCAATGAAATAATGCGATTACTGCAAAACCCCAAAGACAAGAATCGGGTGTCCTGTGAAGTATAACCTCGGGCTTCATATGAAGTCAATTTTTTAGTTCTTAAAACTCAACGCACGTTGCGACGATTGCGCGCAACTTTTCATCAACGTTCAACCTTGAAGGTTTGCGCGATTCGCGTTAAAAAACGAACGTTAACGTCATGTTACGCACATATGCGCACTGGTTTATAATATGTGCTGGCAACACACATGCACGCTGATAGAGAAATAACTATGTGACAGATAAATAATATATGAGTAGAGTTTCTAGTTGGATCTTTTTTGTGCTTGGAGGGTTAACCTCTAACCGCGTCATGTTACGCACGTATGCGCACTGCTTTATGGTATGTGCTGGCAACACACATGCACACTGATAGAGAAATAACTATGTGACAGATAAATAATATATGAGTAGGGTTTCTAGTTGGATCTTTTTTGTGCTCGGATGGTTAACCTCTAACCGCGTCATGTTACGCACGTATGCGCACTGGTTTATAATATGTGCTGGCAACACACATGCACACTGATAGAGAAATAATTATGTGACAGACAAGTGGTATATGAATAGAGTTTCCAGTTGGTTCTCTCCTATGCGTCAAGGGTTTTTCTCCGGGTTCTCCGGTTTTTCTCCCTCCCTAAAAATCATCTCCTAAATTCTAATTCGACCATGGAATGAGGGCCACAGGTTCGTTAGCAACTTGCTATTAGCTACCCTCGTAAAACAAGGACAAAAGCTAGATGCTGACCCTGTGTGGGCACGACCTATTTCGTGGAGTAATAAATTGATGAACTAGTAAATAAATGAAGAATGACGAATTGATTTGCGAAGGGTTGATTAATTGAATGACAAAAAATAAACTAATTGAAATTTGATGATAAAAAAAAAAGCTCAAGAAATAAAAAACCTTAAATCATTTAATCAGTACATTATTGAATGAATTCATTTAGCTCTTGGCGGTATTTATGTACTTATGGCTTCATCCACGCAAATCCTTCATATTCTATCGATGCATGAAACAACTTCTAGACTTATCGAAGTCATAGCACGGCTTACTCGCAGATGGCATTCGCATTTAACTTGTTGGGTTTTACGGGAGAAAGGAAACCGGAGGAACCTGGAAAACACCCTTGAATGAAAAACGAGACGTGACCAACTATACCAAGTCAAGGATCGAACCCGAAGCAATGATTCCCTAATTATAATACTTTTTTTTCCATCCTGAAAAACATTTGTTTTACAGTAACTCC